CAGTATCAGACTCTGTACTACAGTACGTATCAGACTCTGCCGTCCAGTAAAATAGCCTCGCGCAGAATTTCAGCCGTACCTAAAAGGTTTAATATTCGATCGTTGCTCGGCTCGACATCCGCGCCAGAGGACATTCGGGAATGTCTTGCGCAATGTTTACGTTGCGCGCGAGCCATTATTTGGTGATGGTGATCGGAAGGCAAACGTCTGCGGCAAATTGGTAGGTTACGCGTCCGCCGGAGGGGTAGGTTTCACCGTTAAAAAGATTAGACGCGACCGTAATAGCTTTTATTGCATCCTCGGCCCTTCCGTGAAAGAAGATATAGACGCGACCCCTTCCGTCATGAATGTCTTCAATTTGCCTAAGCAAACGGAAGGGCCATAAACGCGTGCTTGGCCCGTACGACCCGACATTAGCATCGCTATCGAGGAACCATCGGCCTGTGTGATTGCTTAATCCTGCGTAGCACGGCCGAGCGCTCGTCCTGGGAACGAAGTACCGGGCTTCCCAGTTCTGCTCCTCTCCTCTCCTCTCCTCTCCACGCTACTTCTCTTCTCACGTGCTCGCGCCGGTTCAGTTCCACCTTTTTCTTTTCCACGCCACTAAAATTGACCCACGGCTTCAGAAGTTTTCCACCGGCTGGCGTTTCAACGAATCACGGATTTCCCCCGTTCCGGCGAGCACGATTGCGTCATCCGCTCGCCTCGCCTCGCATCGCCTCGCCTCGCCACGCGTCGCAACACGTTGCATCGCGTTCTTGTCGCTCCGCGTTTTCCGTCATCGCCCGGTTTATGGATTTTCGAAGTACGCCGGGAGATCGTAAAGTTATTTTCGGCATTCCACGGGCGTCGATTGCTGCCTAGAAGATACGAAGAGGACCTTCTCCACCTTCCGGTAAATATTTACCGGCACGTAGCCGGGAAAACCGGGCGAATGTTCCCCGTCGGTGTCGCTCGCGTCGCGCTTCGCACTGCAACGTGAACGTCGAGAGCTTTCCGACGTGGAAAATATCGACTCTTTCGATTCTCGCGCAGAATCCTGCGATCGAGTCGACGATCACGGCGGACGACCGGCACGGCGCGTGTGTTCGACATCGTCTGGAATGTCAAACAATGGAACGTTACACTTGCAACGATCGTTCGACGGTGAGACATTCGGCCTGTTCTACGCAGGTGCCCAAAGCAAAGCGTACAGATACGCGCACGTATCCGATAATATTTGACTTGAACGAAAGAAAAGGAGGCGCGTCTGGTTTGTTCCTGCTCAATCTCAAACACGGAGCCCTTCACGGGGCCCTTACACCTCTTCCTCGCGGTCTTATCTTAATCCCCAAACAAAGGAAATGTCAGAAAGAGAGGCGTTCCTTATCTGATCCTCTTGTCGCCACTTGCCCCGATATCCTCGGCCACCCCCGGATTCGCTTCCGTGTTATTCTTTCGACCTTGCCCTGCCACCCGCCCTTTATGAAACCTGGCTACCACTTCGCCGAAACCGTAAGCCCCTAAACTGTTTCAAAGATTCCTCGATAATTGGACCAATCCTTCCTTGTCACCACTTCTACTAAAATGAAGTAATTGAGCCGGACGACTATGTGGATGCGATGTAACATGGTGCCGTTGTCAAAGAATTGGTGCAATGAAACGATAACGCGTGATAATCGAAAGTATATGGATATTATATATATTATATGGAAAAGTATAAGTATATAATATATAATAGTAGTATAGTATATAAGTATATAATATATAATATATAAAGTATATAATATATATTATTATAAGTATATAAAGTATATGGATATATATTATATTAATAACTCCTGGAAAAAAGCCTGTAGAACTCAGTAACTCGTGTTGCGTTGATTAATTGCGTTTTACGGCGCTGGTATCTACTTTTTACATGATATCGCTGGAGCAAAAACTTCTGAACACTCCTGTGTTCCTAGTTTACATTTTATGCCGTCGGTTTGTCACAACTAATTTTTCAATCGACATTTGTGTGAAGATGTCTTTGAAAGTAGCCTGAAATCTACGACTGTTTAGGAGTTAAAAATATATTTTAAGGACAAAGAAATGTTCAGAAGACTCTGTTGCATCTATATCACGCACAAAGAATTGATTTATTGTTAGAAATAAAGAGAACGCATAATTCTTGCCGCTTTCGCCATAAGATGCAATATAAATTCCGGCACGATTTATCTGCTTCTGAAAATATAAAAACAGCGCCACTAGACGTGGTAGCAAAATACGCAAACTGTTCCCGATTATTATCTACAGATAATAATTTCAATTCTCCCACAGGGGGCACCACTGGACTATTCTTGTGGCAGACGTAGATAATTAATGTTTTCTATTTTATCGACGATCTTTAAATATCAATTAAGTTTATGAATTATGTTAATGAAGCTTTTGTCAGCACGTAAATATTAATTCAATTATTATTGTTATCTACCAACGAGTATACAATTTATAGTAAATCTTCTTAGAGTGAACACGTATATATGAAACGGAAATAATATATTTATTAGTTTAATAAATTTCATATCAAAATATTTAAATTAAAAAATATCAAATAGCCGAATAAATTATATATGTTGAGTAGAAATATTTCAATCAATTAGTTTATTTGTTTTATCCTATTCTCCACATTCCCATTCAAATATTAAAACGGCGCCACTGCACCTAGTGGAAAAATACTAAAACTTGTAGACAAATTATCCACCGTGCACACGTTTGGAAATGTGATCACTTCAGTGTATTGACGCATGGAATAATATCCCAGTGGCAAACCAAGAAAGGCAATTATAATCAATATCTTTTTAATAAAAATGTAGTAAAAGTAACAAAAGTAATGTACAACGACAAAGATACAATAGCAACAAACATGAAATACAAGAAATTTGTCTATAAATAGCGGATAATAATAATAATTAGCGAATAATTGAAATTCTACTACACAAGACAATAAAAATTAGTAAAAATAAAGATTGTCTATTTATTCATTTGTCGTATAGTAAAAATTGATTTATTTCTTACATAAGAATGACATTATTAAGGTAGGCTCGGAATAATTACATTCTAGTCGATAGTCTTTTTACATATTTTCGGGTGCCCACAACTTGAATGTTCTGTCGTAGGAACTTGTCCCGATAAATTTGTGGTCAGGCGAAATGTCAACAGACATAACTTTACCGTCGTGACCAGGTAGCGTTTTTAGAGGTTGCCAGGTTTTATTCGACCATATTTTAGCTGTGCTATCGTATGATGCTGTGACCAGATATTGCCCTTCCAATCTCTGATATTTCACGTCCGATAATAAGTTAGTGTGAGCTGGTATCGTATATATACAAGATCTCTTTCGCAGGTCCCATATTTTGCACGTATTGTCTTCGCTTGCTGTGGCTATGTGGAACCCATTCGGGGAAAAGTCGATACCGAAAATCGACTTCAAGTGTCCTTCCATAAACATGATACACCTTCCTGTACGAAGATCCCATACCCTACCAAAGGAGTCGTGACCACCTGTGGCACTCACACTACCATCACACTGAAAGCTATAACGAAACATATAAATATTAGTCCACAGATCTTCCTTCTCATCGAAGAATTCTCAACGACATTATTTGTCCTGTATACCTAATACAATGTACTGCTCGTGCATGACCTTCCTGATGTAACACCTCAGCCTGTTGTTCCAAGTCCCAAAGTCTCCAAGACGCATCGTAACAACACGTGCCCAAAAATCGCCCAGAAGGGTGAAACGCAAGCCTCGATACTCTGTGTGGCTCGTGCCCCTCAACTTCAGCTAATGGCTCTTCGCCTGATCCTCCGCTCCACAATTTTACTGTTCCTATAAATACAGTAAATATACTACACTTAGTGTACCGCTCGCCAGTATTTCAGTTCGAACTACAAAGGAAGTAGATTTTATACCATCTGAAGCACAGGATGCCAGTACACAGGTCTGCCCTGATTTGTCTCCTACCACCTCTTCGGTAATGGTAGCTTTTGGATGAAAAACAATGCAGCCAACATTACAAGTATGCCCTTTAAGGGTTCGCAACAGTGTACAATCAGGTACAGACCATATTTTACACAAGCCTGACCACGAGGCTGTGGCAAACAGCTTGGAGTTCGGGCTAAATTGACAGAAAGAGATCGGTCTGGTGTCACCAATTTGAGAGCAGTAGATTGTCAGTGCCTGCAACTTCTTTAGAAGTTCCTGACGACGTGCGGTGCGTGTAGCTGTTGGCAGCTCTAAATCCTGTCTCGCTTTGTCCAGTCTAGCCTTTGCTCTAGGTAATGAATATGCTATAAAATGAATTAATGATAAAATTAATATATATGGAATAGTGTACGAAATTAATAGTCCTATATTAACTTACATGATATCCAAGAACGTGCTATTTGAAGAGATTCTGGTCCTTCGTGGTACCAAGTGGTTTCTGTGTCCCTTTCAATGGCATGCGAAGGTTTCTCTTCTTCTTCGTGCTTCTTTTTGATAGCATCCTCGCCAAGACTAGCCAACAATTCTCTTAATCTTGTTCTTCTGTCCGCCGGGCCTTCGCCGAACAGACATATAGGTTCTCCTAATTGTCTCAAATTCTTTTTCACTTCAGAATCATCGGTAGATACATTTATTTGACGAGCTTTTTTCCTACGCTCGAATTCTTCTAGGAGAGCTTGTCTATCCTTAGACATCTCATCCTCAAGTTCCATATATTCATTGGATATATGGACATTTCCCAAAGTGATAACAGCATTGACACCGTCTCCCAAATTCGTAGCATCTTTCTCTTCCTCGGAGGATTCCGCTGCGGCAGCCAGTCTCGCACGCTCAGTTTCTTCCAGAGATCCATAGTGAACAGTTTTCTGTTTCTTGACATAGACCAAGTCCTCGTCGTCCGACATTGTGTAAAGTCACTGATGACACAATTAACCTACTACAGGCAATGTAAGTTTAATAACAGCGAGCAATCTGTGTGATAAAGAATAACATTGTAAATACGCATATATACAAGTACCGTAATGCCTTGGCATACTGAGCAATATCGTTCTCTGATTGGTTGACGCTTCACAGCTAAGTATGCAGTGCTGCCCCCATCAAAAAGAATACGACATTAGCACGACCCAAGCGAAACATGTCACACCAACGACCAATCTTCCTTGTTAACTTTACCATGCTTACGATCTCACTTTTTTCGCCCCGTAGAATTCTCGAGTAGCATATTTGCGGACGTCTTGAAACGACGACCATTTCTACAATTATAAAAATTGTCGAAAACCCGAAAGCTACATTTTGGATAATACTTTCTAGTTTATGAATCTACAAAATTTTGTTAATTCAGCTATCTCAGTACTTGTCGACTGGGACGACCAGCAACCAATATTGCGAAAAGGAGTTTCCAAAGCAACGAATAATTTCGCAATTTTATACGATTTTTACTTTAAAAAATTTGAGGAACAAATCTGAAATTTGCATCCATATTCTCTTAGAAAGACTACATATTTAATTTTGTAATTACGTACAAAAAATTCTCAAACACAAATATTTAAAGAATTAGAGAAGATTTATTAAGAATTATTGAAGATTGGAACAATTTACTGGCAGGAAAGATTAAAAAACTCCATGAAACAATTTCAAAACGTCTAGTAGAAATTTTGATCCGCAATCTACAACGAAACTATAAATATGTATAAGGAATGATTGCTTTTGTGGGTTTGGATTTTTTCTGCTTGCATGAATTGAGGCGTTATTGTGCATTTCGTGACTCATGATTTAGGGTTGTAAATCGCACGGCCTGGCGGCCGAAAAAACCTAGCACTTACTAGCACGGACAAAAGGAGTTTTCGCAGGTAACGGTAATCCTTTTATTGCTTCGTGAAAGAAACGAGACCTCCGAAAGCAAGTTTACTTTTTAGTAAACGTTTAGCTTAAGAAATACAGTACAATAGAATAAAGAAATACCGTTTTAGTTACCGTTAAATGCGTTCGGGAATTTAATATGTCAGTATTTTAGGGCGTTTGAATTCTTGCTGCGAATATATCAGAATCTTAATCGATCATGATACTTGTGTAAGCGAATTTCGAAACCAGTAACATAACGGTGGTAACAGTGATGGGTTATGCCAATTTCCGAGTGCGCGCCTTTATTCAAAAGAAACATTTGTTCATAGAAATTAAAGTCGGTCTGAAGTAACAGTAAATTCAAGTAAAGTAAAAATAAATTGTAGGTTTTTGAGTGGTTTCTCCAGGAAGAAACGAGTGAATATCGGAAGAGATGATTCAAGCCGAAATGAATCAGAAAATTTCCCTTCGACCCCATTTGTTCGTCAAACAATACCAACGAGTTCCTCTGAAAAGCTGTTACTTTCTTCAGAAAGTAACATTTTATTGAATTATGACTCACAGATGGTGATCAGAAAACGAAACACCATCTAGTCTTCATAGATTCCTTTTTTTGCATGCTTTGTCAAGTCGAAATGCTTT